CCCCTACCTTTCCTAAAGCCTCCTTGTTCATCTGCTATCCTATTCTCCGTCTTACTCTTAATTCTTTCAATAATAACTCTACCATACACTTTACCAGGTATACTCAACAGACTTATCCCCCCTATAATTTTTGCACTCTCTTTTGTCCCCTTTGCCTTTATACAAAGGAACTATGCATGCTCTCTGCCAATCCCTAAGTACCTACCCTCTTCCATACATTTATTAAATAATTGCACCAACCACTCCAAAACTATATCCCCACCTGCTTTTAACATTTATATCTTTATCCCATCAATCCCAGCTGCCTTACCCCCTTTCATTTTACCTACTGCCTCACGAACTTCCCCCACACTCACAACTGGCTCTTCCTCACTCCTACAAGATGTTATTCCTCCTTGCCCTATACACGAAATCACAGCTTCCCTATCTTCATCAACATTTAACAATTCCTCAAAATATTCCCTCCATCTTCCCAATACCTCTAACTCTCCATTTAATAACTCTCCTCTCCTATTTTTAACTGACAAATCCATTTGTTCTCTAGGCTTCCTTAACTTCTTAATCTCACTCCAAAACTTTTTCTTATTTTCAACAAAATTTGTTGATAACATTTCACCCACTCTCTCATTTGCTCTCTTTTTACATTGCTTCACCACTCTCTTAACCTCTCTCTTTTTCTCCACATACTCTTCCCTCCTTGCATCACTTCTACTTTGTAAAAACTTCTCATATGCTATCTTTTTCTCCCTTACTACTCTCTTTACATCATCATTCCACCAATCGCTCCACTTCCCTCCCGCACCCACTTCCCTGTAACCACAAACTTCTGCTGAACACTCTAACACTACATTTTTAAACCTACCCCATACCTCTTCGACCCCATTTCCTATGCTCTCATTAGCCCATCTATCCTCCAATAGCTGTTTATATCTTACCCTAACTGCCTCCTCTTTTAGTTTATAAACCTTCACCTCTCTCTTCCCTGATGCTTCTATTCTCCTTGTATCCCATCTACCTTTTACTCTCAGTGTAGCTACAACTAGAAAGTGATCTGATATATCTGTGGCCCCTCTATAAACATGTACATCCTGAAGTCTACTCAACAGTCTTTTATCTACCAATACATAATCCAACAAACTACTGTCATTTCGCCCTACATCATATCTTGTATATTTATTTATCCTCTTTTTCTTAAAATATGTATTACCTATAACTAAACCCCTTTCTATACAAAGTTCAATCAAAGGGCTCCCATTATCATTTACACCTGGCACCCCAAATTTACCTACCACACCCTCACCTTGTATATATATATTTATTCTTCCTCAGAATCTGTAGAGTGCATGAATACAGATCGATCGATCAATTCCATCCCATATTGTTCAATGATTTGTTCTTATAGTTTGTAATGCATTACGTTAAAAGTGATTACGTTAACACCCATTACGTAAAACTCATTTTTGTTAACATCCAGTATGATACCATCCATTAGTTCTAAGTTATATATGAATTTGTTATTGTATAGAATCAGCCCAGAACCACATGCCTGTTCAGCCTATAGCATAGTAGTGTATGTCGAGACGACATACGTAACATGACCGAGCTGTCAGCATAGTTGCTGATCCCCTTATATGTGTTGTATAGCGTATCATAGTACCACCCATGTGCTTTATATAGAAGATCCCTTAGGCCTGTGACTGTATGACGTCATGGGATGCAGCGAGCGAGCGGAACATGCTACCTCGGCCTCAGTCGACGCATAGGCATAGAAGGCAGAACACGGCAGGCTCCTTCCATCTCCCATTACCACAGTCTGACAATATAGCGTTACCATTCAAAAAGTGAGTTTACCTTATCCATCAATCTCCTACCGAACCCCACACGACATGCCCTTCTAAGGTCTTATAAGAGAAAATGGAGTGTTTGCAAGGCTAACTGCATTAGATCACTAGTTTCATAAGAAAAACATTGAAGCAAAAGCGATTTTCTCAGAGTACCCCCCCCCCCTGGAGTCAGGAGACCGGCCTATGTTTTGGGTGAATATCTCAGAAGTAAATCAGCGTAAATGCCTCACGTCTTCTTTGTGAGAAGGCATGAGGCACGAAGTACATACTACGCTTGTACTGCCTCGCCAGGTCGACTACACACACACACCTCACTTGTGTTTTTCTGTGATTTCCTTGTTTAATTCAATGGACATCCTCCTCCTCCTCTTCTCAGCACTGTCCTTTGCACTTACTTTCTTAGGACCCATAGTTAAACAAACAAAATTTGGGAAAATAACTGTACAAAATGCAATCACAACACAAGAGAGATGCTTCCAAGGTAACCATGTGCACTATTATGGTGTTCGCTGCACGAACAAGTGATGGTGTATTTGAAGCTCACTTGTAACTCGGATTTTAGCTTGCAATTCAAAGCAAAAAATCAATCGAGTGACTGCTCTTAACTTGGAAAACTTGTAAGTTGGGGCACTTGTAAGTCAAGGTACCACTGTATAATATTAATTACAAAGAAGGCCACTAGCATGCCTAGGCATTTCGGGCAGACAAATCCTAATTCTTACTCTATATTGACACAGGTTATGGAGCAGTACATTTTAATATATCTTATTGCATACTTATATAAAAGTTAGACAATTGAAGTGATTACAGTGGACCCCCGGATTACGACATTAATCTGTTCCAGAGAGCTTGTATTATACTGAATCTGTCATAATCCGAATTAATTTTCCCCATAAGAAATACTAACAGAAATCTAATTAATCCATTCCAGACACCCAAAAGTATTAAACAAAATAATTTTTTTACATGAAATATACATTTCCCTACACAGAAAACAATGAAACATGCAGAATAAATAAATAATAAATTAACACTTACCTTTATAGAAGATGTATCCATGAGTGATGAGACGGAAGGAGGGGAGAGGATGGAGGAGTTTACAATTGTTTGGAAGGGGAATCCCCTTCCACAAAGACTTCAGGTAGCAAGTCCTTTTCAGGGGTTACTTCCCTTCTTTGTTTTTTAATGGAACTAGGACCAACTTGAGATTCACTGGACCCCTGACACACCAAAAATCTGTCCAGAGAGCTCTGTTTCTGGTGTCTCTAAGATTTCCCTAATATGGCATAGATCACTGTCATTGTAGATCTTGCCACCATGGCCTGCAACAGTTGTGTCAGGGTGATGTTCATCCATAAAGGTTTTCACTTCAATCCACTTTGCACAAATGTCCTTAATCTCTGAAGAAGGCAACTTCCTCCATCTCTCTTCTTCCTCCTCCTCCTCCTCTGAAGGAAATTCCTGAGCTGTGGTCTGTTGGTGTTGCACCTCAAGCTCTTGCAGTTCTGTAGTGGTTAGCTCTTCGTCGTCATCCTCCACCAACTCTTCCACATCCTCGCCAATAACCTCCAACCCCATGGACTTTCCCCAATGCCACAACAGATTCCACATCTGTCATAGGCTCCTCAGAGTCAGCCCCAAACCCTTCAAAATCCCTCGCTTGAACACATTCTGGCCACAATTTTCTCCAAGCAGAGTTCAAAGTCCTGCAAGTCACTCCCTCCCAAGCCTTACCTATAAGGATTATGCAACTGAGGATACTGAAGTGATCTTTCCAAAACTCTCTTAGGGTCAATTGAGTGTCTGAGGTCACTTCAAAGCACTTTCGAAACATTGCTTTGGTGTACAGTTTTTTTGAAATTTGAAATGACCTGCTGGTCCATGGGCTGGAGGAGAGTAGTGGTATTGGGAGGCAAAAACTTCACTTTTATGAAGCTCAACTCCCCCATAATTCGCTCTGCCAAGTCTGAAGAATGAGCAGGAGCACTGTCTAATACCAGGAGGTACTTAAGCTTCGATTTATTTTCCAGGAGGTAAGTTTTCACAGTGGGGCCAAACACATGATAAAACCAGTTATAGAAAATGTCCCTAGTGACCCTTGCCTTACTGTTTGCCCTCCATATCACACACAAATTAGTCTTGACGACATTGTTTGTCCTGAACACTCTGGGAGTTTCAGAGTGATACACGAGTAGAGGCTTCACTCTGCAATCCCCACTAGCATTACTACACAACATAGGCTTGTGTCCTGGGAATGCTTTTTCCTCCTGTGTAATGTAGGTCCTGTTCGGCATTTTCTTCCAAAATGGGCCTGTTTCGTCACAATTAAACACTTGTTGGGGTTGCAATCCTTCAGCCTTTATGTACCCCTGGAATTCCTGCACATATTTTTCAGCTGCTTTTTTGTCCGAACTGGCAGCCTCACCATGCCTTATCACACTGTGTATGCCACTATGATTCTCTCAAACCAACCTTTGCTGGCCTTTAATTCACTCACATCACCACTAGTTGCAGGCATTTTTTAATTAAATCGTCACGCAACTGCCTTGCCTTTTCACATATGATCGCTTGAGAGATGCTATCTCCTGATATCTGTTTTTTGTTTGTCCATACCAATAACAGTCTCTCAACATCTTCGAGTACCTGTGATCTGTGTTACGAAAAGATACTTGTACCTTTTGCAACAACAGCTTCCTTGATTGTCTTTTTGTTGGCCAAGATAGTAGTGATGGTTGATTGGGGTTTTTTGAACAACCTGGCCAGCTCAGAGACACTCACTCCACTTTCATACTTTGTTATTATCTCCTGCATTTTGACTGTAATTTTCACCCTTTTTATCACAGGGTTGGCACTAGAAGCTTTCTTTGGGCCCATGGTGGCTTATTTAGCAGCTACAAGCACTAAAAACACTGGAATAATACAAAATGTACAGAATGTATGCGTGGAAGTGACCGCACTGGTTTATAAACACTGGCACATTAACTGAAGGCAGGGCAGCTGAGGCACGCTCAGGCGTGGACGCGTTCCGGACGAATGATGTAAGTCGAGTTTTTGTTCGTAGGTCAGGGGAATTTTTTTACGCTGAAACGCTTTGTAAGTCAATTTTATCGTTAGATGAGGCCTTCATAAGTCAAGGGTCCACCGTATTTAAAAAAAAAAAATGCTGGATTTTTTCAGGCAATAATAAATATAATAATCAAATTAAGTGCTATAACTGAAAGGGTCATACAGGGCTGCCTTAGTCAGGCAAGAACCCCATTGGGAGCTGCACACTTCTAATATTCATTAGACCAGGGAAAAAAGAAAATTTAGTTTCGAAATATTGAGTAAATGAACACACAATTTATGCAAGAAAGAGTATATTATACAAACTTAAGCACTTACCTAATATATTTTCATGTCTTAGCAAAACTGTCTGATAAATTTCAGTTTCTCTGAACCACGATGCTTCGTCAGTAGTAAAGAACACCTTGACAGCAACCCTTTCACCCCTCCATCTCCCAAGCCAAACTTCGCCATAACGTCCCTTCCCAACGCTCTGCACTAGTTGAATCTGTTTGGCTATTGTACGTTGCACCTGAAACATCATTTTCATTAAGAATAGGAAAAGATATATTTAAAAGCATGTAGTGATGAGCTCTTAATCATTAACCAGTATTCAACATAGCTTTCACTTGTTATAATTACATTTACACACACCATTACAACACTAGCACAGGAGGGCCCTGCTTAAACAGCAGGTTAGGTTCCAGGCTATTGCTGTAAAGCAAAAATCATTGCAAAATGAAATATAACCATTTTACACTTTCAAGTGCATATAAAAGCCTGATAACATGTTTACACAATCATATATTAAGTGAACAATAGAGCTAGGCCTAAAAAAAATCATATACAGTACACACATTACTTACCTTAAACTATTTTTGTCCTTAGCATATAGTGAGTGGTGAATATATTTATTGTAGAAGTCTGAATAAATGAAGAATGGGTATAATTGAACACCACTGTAGTACCAAAAATGCCATAAAGCGAAGTGCTTTAAAGCTTTGTAAAGCACTCTAAAGCAGGGACCCTCCTGTACGTATAAATCATACTCGACTATTTACTGTACATACTACTGCCTGTATGCTTATCTAAGTGTGAATTACAATTCACATGGGTTCCTTTATGTTTCACTGACTATGAATACAGTGGACCCCCGAGTTTCGGCAGCATTGACTTTCGTGAACTCGACTTTCGGCAAAATTTGGCCTCGAGTTTCATGATTAGACTCGTGATTCGGCGATCATCCGGTACCCGTCTGCCCATCACCGCGCACACAAAGCCTGTCTCCCACACCATTCACGCTCAGTGTGCCATTGTTTACCAACACGTGACCATCACCCCGCGGGTTCATACGTAATAATCCATTGTTTTTTGTGATTGCAACTGCTAAATAAGTCACCCTGGGCCCAAGGAAAGCTAGTGCAAGCCCTCTGGTAAAGAAAGTGAAGAACACGATCCATAGGGATTTTGAAGGGTTTGAGGCAGACCCTGACCCTGCCGACCCTCTGCCGGTTGTGGAAGGTGTTGTGGCATTGGGCAAGTACATGGGGTTGGAGGTGAGTGACGGGGATGTGGAAGAGTTGGTGGAGGGCCACAGGGAAGAGCTACCTACTGCCGAACTGCAAGAGCTTCAACTGGAATGGCATCAGACCACAGCTGAGGAACTTGCTTCAGAGGAGGAGGAAAAGAAAGTGAAGGAGGTGCCTTCTTTGGTGATTAAGGACATGTGTTCAAAGTGGAATGAGTTGCAAAGTTTTGTTGAAAAGTATCACCCTGACCAAGCTGAAACAAGCCATATCTGCAACATGTTCAGTAATAAAACCTTGTCCCACTTCAGGCAAATCATAGAGAAATGCCAGAAACAGACCTCCCTGGACAGATATTTTGTGCGACAGGGGTCCAGTGACTCTCAAATTGTTCCCAGTGGCATTAAAAGAAGAGGGGAAGTAAAACCAGAAAAGGACATGCTACCTGATGTCCTAATGGAAGGAGATTCTCCTTCCTCCTATCCCCTCCTCCCGTCTTCCATCCACCCAAAAGTCTTCAGTAAAGGTAAGTGTAATGTTATTATTATTTTTTATATGCATGTACTTGATTTCTGATTGTTTTCAGTATGTAAATCTTTATTTAATTTAAAAAAAAAATATTTTATTTTAATATTTTTGGGTGTCTGGAACGGACTAATTTTATTTCCATTATTTCTTATGGGGAAAATGGTTTCAAGTTTCGTGAATTTCGACATTCGGCAGGCTCTCTGAAACGGATTAATCACGAAACTCGGGGGTCCACTGTACTTTTTTTTTTAACTGTAACAATTCTACATTTACATACTTTCTAATTTAAAGTTATATTATTTATAATAACTGGCTCAATATTACAATTCAAACTTACTGTGCACACTTTTTCTAACCATTCTAGTTACAAGTGAAAGTTTTATTTAACCCTTTGACTGTTTATGTCGTATATATATGTCTTACGCACCACTGTTTCTGACGTATTTATATGCGTAAATTCTAGCGGCTTCAAATCAAGCGGGAGAAAGCTGGTAGGCCTACATGAGAGAATGGGTCTGAGTGGTGGGTGTGCACCCTGTGAAAAAAATCTGGGAATCAGTGGTGCATTGTGGGAATGCCATCTTGGTAGTCCATTTTCACCATGCCTGGCAGTAAGAAGTACCTCACTCCTCGGCGGATTGGAGGTCTTTTGTTCCAAAGTGATAGCTCTAACAGTGATGAAAGTGTCAGTGAAAGTGAATTCCATGGTTTTCAAGCGGGTGTGACCGAAAAAAGTGCCCAGGATAACGTAATTAGTGATGAAAATCCACCTCTGGTGCTAGTCCAGCTCGTTCACGTTCACCTGAACCAGGATGAAAGAGGAAACTATCTGCCCGTGTACAAGACTCAGATGTGAGCACTGAAAGTGATAGTGTTTTCAAAGTTACTGAAAGCAGTTCTAGTTGTGACAGTGAGGGTGAATATTTCCCAGTGAAGCGGCAGTATATACTACATAGCATGCGGTCTGGTAGTGCTTTATATGCTGTTCCAAGGGGAAGGAGTAAATCTCGGAGCACATCCCGTGGCCCTACACCACGACCTGATAGTGAAGATGACAATATTGTTACGATGGGTATGAATGATGTGAGTGAGGCAGCAGATAGTGGTGGTGGTGATAGTGATAGTGGCATGAGTCATGTGGCACCAGCAGTGGGCCACGCTACTACCCACGCTGCTGACCCTGCACAACCAGCCTCACTGAACCCCACACTCCCACAACCTGCAAAACCACGTTTCAATATCCAGAACCCACCAGCAGACCGCATCTGGGATTGGCAGCAAGGTGACAAGTTTGTTCCCAGTCCCCATGACTTTGATGAAACACAAAGTGGAATACGGCCATCGTGTACACTTGGGAACATTATTATTATTATCATCAAAAAGAACCGCTAAACCACAAGGGCTATACAGCGCTGCAGGGTAGGAAAGGAAGCGAGGGTATTGGGCGGCAGAAGGGGGAAGGGGCGATCAGAAGGTTACAGAAAACAGCGGGGCAGGGGATAGTGCAGGGTAGAGGGTAGCAAGAGATCGAGGTACAAAGGGCCGAAGGCATCATCAGAGTTTGTGAAGTAAGTCAGTTGTTGTCAAAAAGTCAATGAGAGAGTCCGGATGAAAGGTGGGCCCATCAGCGAGAAGGGAAGGTAAAGGAGAGCAGCGGAGCGAAGACGACGTTGGAGGTAAATTCTCCATGCTCATTGATAAAGTGGGCAGTCTAACAGAATGTGGCTGACCGATAATGGAACCTGACAATTCTCACAAGAGAGGAGCAGGGCGCCTCTCCATGAGAAGAAGACGGCCAGTAACCTATACGGGGTTTAATAGATTGAAGTTTGTTACTGAGTAGAGTAGACCAACGTTGTTGCCAACGGGTATGAAGGTGGGTAGTTATTGCAGCAAAATAGTCCGTAAATGGAACACCTCTATATGAAACTGGTAGATCATGTACTGCTGACCGCGCAGCAGTGTCTGCCTGCTCATTGCCCTGTACGTCAACATGACCAGGGACCCAACAAAAAACAATATCTTTATGCTTGGTAGAGATGCGGTGTAGCCAAAGTTGGATACGGAGGACTAAGGGGTGAGGTGTATCAAATTTCTGTATAGCCTGTAAAGCACTAAGGGAGTCTGAGGCAACCACAAATGATGACACAGGCATAGATGCAATATGGATAAGTGCTGCAAGAATAGCATACAATTCAGCAGTAAAGATACTAGCCGAAGATAGTAAATGCCCTCGTACGACGCTGTCCGGAAACACTGCTGCGAATCCTACGCCATCAGAAGACTTAGAGCCATCTGTGTACACTGCAATGGCATGAGAATGAGAGTGGAAGTGGTCAAGAAAAAGAGAGCAGGAAGCTACCGTAGACAGTTGGGCTTTCGAGCAAGGGAGTGAGAAAGAACAGACTCGAACAGCTGGAACTTCCCAGGGGGGTAGGGAAAAGTGAGATGCTACATGAACATAGAAAGGTGGAAATTGAAGTGAAGACAAGAGCGAATGTAGGCGAAGAGAGAAGGGACGGAGCAAACAGGGGCGGCAAACAAATAAAGAATGTCTACTAATATTGGTGACCATTCTATAAATGGAAGGATTGTGGAGATCATGAGAGTGTACATAGTAGCGAAGGCAATGGACATCACGGCGATCGGATAAGGATGGAACGTTCACTTCTGCATAGAGGCTCTCAACAGGGAAAGAGCGAAAAGCACCAAGGCATAAACATAATCCTTGGTGATGAATAGGGTTGAGACTAGATAGAGTAGCAGGAGAGGCAGCTGAATAGATCTGGTCACCATAGTCAAGTTTCGATAAAATGAGGGTGGAATGTAGGCGAAGGAGAGTTCGACGATCAGCTCCCCATGAAAGATGAGCAAGGGTTTTAAGAAGGTTCAGCCGGCTGTGACAAGTTGTCTTCAGAGAAGTAATGTGAGGTTTCCAGGATAACCTACTGTCAAAGAGGAGGCCTAGAAACCTGACTGTATCACGTTCAGGGATACGGGTGCCATAGAGGTATAAAGGATGATCGGAGATGACAGAGAGTCTAGTGAAATTAATTTGGTGAGTTTTGGTACTGGAAAATTTAAACCCATGTGTGGTGGCCCAATTGGAAACACGGTCGACCGCATGCTGGAGAGAAACTGTAATGAGGTGACAGTCAGCACCTGCACAGGCAATAGCGAAGTCATCAACATAGAGTGATGACCAAATATTGAATGGAAGACTAGAGGCCAAATCATTTATAGAAAGGAGAAAAAGTGTTGTGCTCAGAACACATCCCTGGGGGACACCTTCAGCTTGGATAAAGTCTGGGGAGAGCACATTATTAACCCGAACACAGAAATGCCTGTCAGTTAAAAAGTTCTTAAGGAAGGATGGTAGACTGCCTCGAAGGCCTAAGGAGTGGGCTTGGGCCAGAATATTATACCTCCAAGTTGTGTCATATGCCGTCTCAAGGTCAAAAAATATGGCAACAACTGA